GTCAAATGGTTCCTGAGTTATTGTTAACTGTAGCCACATATGGTGAGACGGACAGACGGACGTACGACACCCCATGGGAATAGCTCATCTTGACGATGTCAATGTGAGCTAAAAACTGCAATAATGACTCTCAGGATAATAGTTACAATCGGGTACAAAACAACACCATTTTCACGCAGTTAATATGTTACGAGCCAATGATTGTTTAGAACCAGTGGGTTCGATCATTGTCATACCACCGTGACGTCATCACTTTGGAGCGCTATATATATACAATTAGTATCATGTAGTGATGACTGGGAAATAGTTCATGACCACAGGCACTTGTGACAGAGTCAGTAAAAACTGAAAATAATATTCACAAATACTACCGTACCTCGCAATTAGGCCTACAGTTCCACTGTCTTGTCACTCTATATCAACTTCCCTTCATAAAAACTAACACCGAACCCTCCCACGTTCGCCGCTGATAGTGTGCTGTCGCGCATGGTAATAATATATAAGGAAGGTAGGAAACTCCGTTCCCGTGATTTTCAAAGATCACTCCTCGCTTTTTTCAAATTTCACAAATTTGTCAGGCACCTACTATACGACCTTCATCTTGGTCTCGTTCTGCTCTCTATACTCCACTGAACAAAACTTCGCAACTACCGTGGTCGATAAGTACAGCAGCTCTATGTAATCTGACTTCAAACGCAGAAGTTTAGCAGTTTGTGCCGATTCATCAGGATTGTATATACGGTTCTAGAATCCGATTGGCCCCGCGCGCGGTAGCACAACAGCCATTTATGACGCGTCCCACCTACAGCCAATCGCGCTCCGCGTCGCCGGACTCTATCGGGGCTGCACCAAACTCCTAAACTTCTGCATTTGAAGTCAGATTACATAGAACTGCTGCACTTATCGGCTACAATAGTTACATAGCTTTATTCAGTGGAGTATAGAGGACAGAACGAGACCAAGATGGAGGTCGTAGCTGCCTGACAACTTGAGCCGCGTGCGACCAGTGCAAGCCTGTGACCAGTCCGGGAGGTGTGCCTGAAAAATACAAAACTTACGCACACAATTCTGCCGATGCAGTACACAATGTCGTCCGTGTCGACACGTGTGCTCGTCTGGGCACTTCCTCCGGTGGCTTACCGGTTTCCAGAAACTGCAACATACAACGACATGTATACATTTTGCTTATGAAACTTCACAAATTTTCTTTCCTGTCCTGCGCACGTTGCCAGAACGCTCGCTTTCGCGATCAACTGAACTGCCTGTCAAAACCATGTGACCGGGTGCCCTTCTGGTACGGTATACCGTTAAAATTAAAGAGACTGAAATCGAACTTCCTTTTCCTCGAACGTACTGTTCCCAGCAAATCCATTAACTACTTCGCGGATTGATGGCACGAGCATATAGCTCGCACGTCTTACTTCGCTCTATAACTTTCTGACCTGTTCAAGAAAACTCACTCCCGTGTGATGCGCATGGCAAAAAGATCCGCTGATTATCTTTACGGTAACAAATGTGAAACAATTCCTCGGTCACTCAGCAATGATAGCGAATCTATGCGTCGGGATGCCCGTGACAGCTACCCGAGCCGGCTTCTTCTGTAACAAGAAGCCCGGTCTTCCCTCTGAATGGCGGCCACTAAGCTTCTCTACAGCCCTTTTCAGCCCACCAAACGACACAACGCGAAAAGCGGGTCACAGAGTGCTCCCGTAGTTTCCCGCGCATGCGCCGGAGATAATTTGAAACCGCATCCAGCGACAACCCACCTACTCTACCAGAGGAAGCGACTTTGCAACCTCGATACGCTTGTTTATTCGCCTTTTACGAAACGCACAAGGTTAAAACGGTGGATGTATTCTACAGCCTCATCCCACCGGGCGTTTATCGCGTCTCCTTTGCTAATGCAAGCTTACAACCCAACAGTTCCCTTTTTCCTTCCTCGCTACTCTTTCCTTTTCCACTCGTCCCTAAATCTTAGTGGCACACGAATGTCCGGCCGCGTTCTCGTACCACGTCTCTCATGCACATTAGCTCCGCCTCTTTCTCGTCCTACATATACCGGGGTTGCTGCGTCAGCGGCCTTCTGTGAATGCGGAGTTAACGCTACAGGTCTTTTGCTTACGTTAAGCATGACCTCATCGTCATCGTCGTCATCCGTATCCTCTAGCCTAAGGCTCCACCCAGGACCTTCCTCTCCATCCGTCACCCTCTCCCTATCATCGTTCGTCACCCCTTCCCTGTCTTCTTCCTTCCCCAACTCGTTAAGGAGACCCTCTTCGTCCTGGTCCTGTCTCGTCCCTTCTACGTTATTTACGGTTAGCCAGGAGGGCGGAGGGTCGTCCGTCTCCCACAGCTTTAGCTGATTCGTCACAACTACTCGGGGTTTTGCCTGCTTGCTCTGCTGAATCCAGCACAACGGCCCTTTTTCACGAACGATCAAGTACGGCCCCGTCCAAGGGTTCCCCAGCTTTCTATCGGCGGGTGGGTAAAAATACCAAACCCAGCTTCCTACGGGAAAATGGCCAGGTTTCACTCTTTTGTCGTACTGAGTTTTCTGATGCACCGCGGCCTTATGTAATTGTTTCCGCGCAAACTCGTGTGCATCGGCAATAGCTTTACGCAGCCACTCCACGTACTCGGTTTCACAACTATGTGCCACCTCGCCTGGAGGAGGTCCCCACTGTAGGTCAATGGGCAGTCTAGATTCCCTTCCGAACATTAGCAAATTAGGCGTACACGCGGTTGACTCGTGTACGGAGGAACGATACGCCATTAACACGTAAGGTAAATGGTCGTCCCAATCGTTATGGTGCTTATTTACGAAAACGGCCAACAACGTCTGTAAACTCCGGTTGAAGCGTTCTACCTGACCATCGGATTGTGGATTGTATGCCACTGTTCGGGTCTTGTCAATTCCTAGCAGGCCACACATTTCGGTGAAGACCCTCGATTCAAAATTCGTCCCCTGGTCGGAGTGTAAACTAAGGGGAACCCCGAAACGTGTCACGAACTGCGTCACAATACAGTCGGCTGTCGTTATCGCCGTCATGTCAGGCAAAGCATAAGCCTCAGTCCATTTCGTAAAATAGTCACTGAGAACGAGTATGTATTCGTTCCCGGCTTCAGTTCGGGTGAGAGGGCCCATGAAATCGATCGCGATTCTTTGTAGCGGCGCACCCACCTTCTCCTGCTTTAACCCGTGTCGCCTAACTTTACGACCCTTTCTTTTGGCGCAGGCTGCGCACTGCTTACACCATCGCTGTACATCGCTTCTAATTCCTATCCACGTGAAACGCTGCCTAATTCGTTCTAACGTTTTCCTGTTCCCGAAATGGCCCGAAGTTCGCGCCCCATGCAGCTCGGTGAGTATATCGCGACGAACTTCTCTCTGTGCTACTAACTGGGGAAGAGGGTCGCTCTTCCTGCTTCCGGGCATCCATAACCGATACAACAGCCCATCATGTAATTCCAGAACGGACCACTGGGCCCACAGCGCTTTGCATTCGCTAGAATAGCTAGCTATGTCAGAGTACAGCGGTCTCTCGCGATTGCCTTCCTTTAACTGTACAATCCTACCTATAGCCGCGTGTATAATAGCCTGCGCCAGCGACCGCGCATGCATATTTTCACTCACAATTACAGTAACTCAACGCAGCAACTAACCTAACTCACAATCCTGATCACGCGCACCTTTCATTTGTAACCTTTCTACCTCTTAGTCTTTCCGATTTCTACCCTGCGTTGTGTTTTTAAACCCCACCGGCGGTTACAGGCCGGCCTTCAAACTCGATCACAGGATTGTGAGGTTAGCTTAGTCGCCGCGGTTAGTGATGTGCGCACATACGCAAGAAGATGCAAGATACACGTACAACAGCTACCCCAGCTAGCATTCCCATATGGGGCCCATATGCCAACCCATCTGGGGCCCATAGGGGCAAAACATCTGGGGCCCTAAGGCATCTGCACCCAAGAAGCATATGGGCCTCATATGGGCTAGCCCATATAGCCCAGATGGTACCCATATGGGACCCATATAGGCGAGCCCATATAGCCCAGATAGCCCAGATAGTGCCCCCATTGTACCCATATAGCCCAGATGGTACCCATGTGGGACCCCTATAGGCGAACCCATATAGCCCAGATAGTGCCCACATTGTACCCATATATAGGCGAACCCATATAGCCCAGATAGTGCCCATATAGTACCCATATAGGCTA